GTAAACTTTTAACGGAAAAGGATGAGTTTAGAACACAATAAATAGTTAGGTGACCATTTTGTAGCTTTTAATAGTTAGGGGACTAAAGAAAGTAACATCCTATAGTTGGAGGACTATTTTATAATTTTTAATAGTCTAGAGACTCAATAAAATAATTCTTTATAATCGAGGGACCAATTTTATACTTTACCCTAAATTTAATGATCAAAATGAATACTTGAACATCAACGAAAACAAAAAGCAACAGAATAATAATGCATACACAAAAGTAAATAGCAACTGAATAATGCAAGTCGCAGCCTCAGTTCTTTTGCTGTTGTAGAAAACTAAAAGATACAGTCCCATAACAACTGTGTTTAAATTGTTTGAGAATGATGAATTTCTTCATAGAGAAAACCCTTTTAGAGGAGCAAATTTAGAAAGTATTTCGGCCTCTCGTCTTTCGGCATTCTCCTTCTTTCGATCCCATTCCGGCTTTTTCGCGTTAGCGAGCTGAACTTCGTATACGACTTTCGGAATGGAGTTCGCCACCATCTTTTGATTGTATGTCAGTTCCTCCTTGTCCTTCTTCCTGTTTTCTATCAACTTTGTAAGTTGTGCACGACGGGATTTGAGTTGTGCGACATGATTGTCGATTTCTTGCACGGTCGAGGTGTTCGAATCGACTTCGCATTGTATACGTGTTACATGTTCTCTTAACTCGCTGTACTCTTGTCGGAGTGAAGTAACCTTGGCCTTTTGACCTCGAGCGTTGTAAAGAACTTGTCGGCCTGCTCCATAACTTCCTTGTTCTCCAAGAAAACCTCGCAGAACGATGGAATCTCTTCGATCAGCTTCAACTTCACAAGTTGTTCAGCGGTAAGGCTAGGATCCTTCCGAAGTTTAGATGCTAGACTTGTGAGTTCATCGAGGTCTTTGAAGCAAATCAACGAAGGGAAATCATATCGAGAAACGAAGACAGTTTCATTTGAGCTTCAGCCATTTCGTTTTCTGCAGCGAAGTAGTTGTGCAGCACGGGACGAGAAACCGGTTCTTCGGACAGAGGTTGCACGAGCATTTCATCCAAAGCGTTGAGATAGTTGTCAAATTCCGCTGTAAAAACATATGAAAGAACAAATAAAATGAATATACAACGCTAACACGTGCATTGTTGCTTTAAAATGAACGATGGTTTCATATTCTAACCTGTTGTTGTTTCATCATCCAAGAAAGACAATTCAGGAACACCATTTGTATCTTCGGTTTCGGTTGGGGGAGGGGCAGAATTTTTAATACGCTGCCGAGTTTGTCGCTTAGGTGTGACCGATGCTGGGCCTTTAGTTGTCTTCTGCTTTTTCAGACTGCTTTCAGAAACGGGTGTCCTCAGTGGGGGATTCCTCTTCCTCTGGCTACCATGAGGAGTCTTCTTGTTACTTTCTCTTTTGGCATCCTCCATTCCTACTGCTGGTGCTGAGTGAGTAAACAAGTCTGCTCAGCTTTGCAAACTCAACACCTCGACTAATTCGATTAGGGTCGAATGACAGCTCACTCTTCTTCCCTTAGAAACTTAATCAAAAGAGCAAATGCAGAGCTAAACATTCATAGTAAACGATCTAGTACCATTGACACACACCAGAAAAAATGCCTATGAACGGTTTTGGTTACGAACAAGTCCCGATAAGTGTCCCACAAGGTAAAGTATATATGCCTGTGCATGCATCAGTGTCTATATTGTCTAGACTATGTTCCTATTTCCACTACTACTGTTTCAAACTTGTTAAGTATTTGACATGAAATTTAACGACTCGACTCATTCGATGCTGATTCGAAACAAGCACAAAACAGAGAACGGTGTTCACCTTAAGAGTTCACAGATCGATCGTGTAAAAGGGCAACAAAATACAGAGAACGGTATATGATTTTCAGCCAACCTTTCATGGGAGACTCCAAAACTGCAGGGATCTTCCAAACAAATGAAGCAAAGAACGCCTTCATATCAGCATCCGGAAAATGTGATAGGAGAAAATGTTCAAGCATTGGCTTGCTCGCAAACATTTTCGGACTTCCTCGAAACCGAAGACATTCCGGAACATTGAGGAATCGGTCGCTGTAAAAGCCATCCTTGTTGACCCTCTTCCCCACTCTCCAGCTCCAGACGTCACCAGTGTTCGGCCAATCTATAGGAGCATAAGGCAATCCTTGCCCGGTAGTACAAGGCGGAACTGGTGAAGCAGCTAAATCGTTCTCCTTAATCGTCGGAGGAGCATCATTAATTCCATTAGGGATATCATTCCTCGGAAACTCTTCTTTCGGTGGCACTGATGTAATCGGAGTCGGTCCACCGTAGTAACTGTAATCGAGATAAAACCAGCATTTAATCGAACACAATGTTGAAGCTCTATGCTCACTAATTGATGATACACCATGACAACAAATCGACAAGAGGGACATTATACAACAATCTACGAATTCGAAGCAAGAATGTTCGATTTTCCCAGGTTTCTAAGTAACGAGATTTCCATGCTTCTTCCATGAAACAGAATACACATATTGCATTGTAGAGCAGCCTAAATTCCCAGGAACATCACTGATCATCACAACAGAAAACAAGAAAAATGAGCAATTCAAAAGAGATCAAACTTACTCTGGAAACAGATCTTGATGAAGATCAATATGGAGAGGATCACTATCAATCTCAGAACGAGTTTCATGGATCGGGGGAGAAGTAACTGGCATCATTGGAGCAAAGTTCCCTATTTGACCTGCAAAACCAAGGCACCCCAGAGATTAAAAGAAGATCAAAGCTTTGATCTTTACTGATTATCAGTCAACTGTGATCATTGATCATAGGAAAAATGGATTTGCAGATTATGTAGAAGAACAAAGAGATGAATAGGAACCTGGAACTTTGTGAAATGGTGTCCTGTAGGGAACTGCTTTTGTGTGGGATGAGTTTATTGATTAAAAAAAAACTACAACAAGGAGTCTTTGCTGTCTAATCTCTTAGAAGAATATCTAGGGGGCGTGAGGAAAATAGAATGACTTCTTTATCTGGAAATTCTACACTGCATCACCTCTAATATACAATTTAAAAAATGTGTCGATTTTATTATTATTTAAATATTAAAATCGATAAAATACTTAAAATATTATTATTTATATATAAAACATCAATATTTTTTAATATTTTCGGTAAAAATGCCCAACAATAATAAAATTGGTAGAAAAAATAACAAAACCGATAAAACGTCCAATAATAACAAAACTGGTAAAACGCCAATAATAACAAAACCGGTAGAAATAATAATATTTTCGGTAATTTTTAATGATTTTATTATTTAAATAATAACAAAACCGGTAACATCATTTTTAACTGTATATTAAGACTGTCGTACGTGAACATTTCCCTTCTTTATCCCTTCTAAAAGTATTCTAATTTTCATTTATGATATTTAATTCAGTTGGATCCAAATTTTAGAATTCCTAAAGAGTTCATAATAATTTTGCTTAGTTTAATTTTAATTTTTCTATATCGAACTTTAATGATTAGAGAGAGAATTATTTTCTCCAGATGTCCTAAATTTAAGTACTTGCATTAAGATATACGTGTTTGTCGTGAATATTAAATAAATTTGTATAATTATATATTTAGTTCTTCGTATTTATACAATCAATCATTTAGTCTTAATTAAAATAATAATAATAAATTAAACCTTTAATATTTATAAACTAGTTTTATCTAGGGATGAGCATCGGTCGAGGTAGATTTTATTGCAACCTCTATCTGATCTGAACCCGACATGTCCTTTTGAGATAAAACTCGAATCTGAAATAATATATTTATAAAAATAGGGATTTAATTGAAAAAAAAATAATATATAGAGGTGACTTATTGTAATTATCTCTAAATATATAAGCTAAAATCATATTTTTTTGGGTCGAGTCGGATAGTTTTCACCCTAAACCTGAACCCGATTCGACCAAACATAATCTATAAAAAAATCCAACCCAAACTCGATTCTTTTTTTAAAAAAATCTCACCCAATAGGGTGGGGTCAAAATCTATTGGATTCGGATCTCGTGACCATCCCTTATTTAATTAAAAATAATTTAATATTTTTCTCCTATAAATTTAATGAAAGATGTCATAAAATGGGTAAATTATAAATTTCATCACTGAATTTTACTCTCTCTCCTATTTTGCTCAATGGATTTTAAAAGCTTTCAATTCCCTCACTGAACTTAATTAATTGAGTTTTTTTTTTGTTATTGAACTTCAAACTCTCCTATTTTGGTCACTATTTTGTTAAATAGTTAACATGGTTTAAAACGATGATGTTAAAAATTTCAACCAAACGACGTCTTTTTGCATCTATATAACTATCTATTTTAACGTCGTTAACTATTTAACGGCCGATTGAACACAAAAACTCAATGTATTAAGTTCAATGAGGAAATTGAAAAGATTTAAAGTATATTAAATGACATATGAGAGAGAGCAAAGTTCAGTTACCAAAATTGTAATTTACTCGACATTGGGAGTAAACTATACGATGACACTATATAGAGAATGTCCATTTTGATATTTGTTCTCCAATGTGGAAAAATGTAATCAATCAACCCTCTTGGTTGTTTCCATGAAGTTTATGCATATTAGATAAATGTGAAAGAGAAGGAAAGCAACAGCTGGGCCCAACAAAGAATACAAGCCAAAGTAAACAGTTGAAGTAAAGGGAAAGTTGATATAGTCATGGTTGGGCAAAGTTTTTCCATTTGGTGGAAGAAGATACAATATCGAACTTGTATATATTCATTACTATGCAAAACATGCAATGCTGCAACTGAAGCTTTGGCAGATAAATGATAAAGATTAGTTAGGTAAATAAAAATGTCATCATCCTTCACCAATCCCATTATTCTGGGAGTAGTGTGGGTTACTATCCTTGTTTCCTTTGCTACAACAGTAGGTCAATCGCCATTGGAGTCTGAAGCCAAAGCTGTGTTAGAAAGTGGATGGTGGAATGGATATAGCAACTACACTTCTCAACGTCGCAAACATCACCAAAATTGATCTTAGTTATCAACCGATGGGTGGAAATATCCCGCCTCAGATAGGTGATCTATCGGCATTGGAGTACCTTGACTTGTACTCTTGTGATTTATCTGGTGAGTTACCTCCTCCTCTTGGAAACCTTTCCCATTTACTGTTTCTCCACCTTTCCAGTAATTGTATTCATGGTCCAATCCCTTCTTCTTTTGGTCAATTAACCAATTTGGAAAGTTTGTACCTTGATGATAACCAACTCGATGGCTACATCCCTCGGGGTATTGAAAATATGAAGAAACTCGGGTATTTAAGCATCAGAGATAATAATTTTACTGCTATAACATTCCTCTGTTTCTGTGTCCTTTGAAAAAATTGGAAAGTATTGACCTTTCTCTAAATCAATTCATCGATTCAATCTCTTCTTGGATTGGTGGTTTATCCAATTTGAGATCATTGTTCCTACATTCAAATTTATTACAAGGTTCTATTTCCAGAGAGATTGGGAATTTATCCTACTTGAGCCATTTGGATCTTCATTCAAATCTATTACAAGGTTCTATTCCTTCAGAGATTGGGAATTTAGAATTTCTAGAATCATTAGACCTCTCTGAAAACAGATTGAATGGTTCTATACTTCCATCCCCTCTCAGATTACCAAGCTTTCTAGAGAGCATCGAACATATCCGTCATCACGTCGAATTGAACTAGGATGTCACGTCGGGAATCCATATGCATTGCTTGCAATGCCAACTGTTGAGAGACGATCTCGGACACCTGATTCCCCAAGGCAGTAAAGTGGGACTCCATAGAGGCAAACCTTAAGTCCAATGTCTCCATCATGGAATGAAAATAGAGAGGCATCTCACTACCAACACTAGGAGGCTCGTCAGGGACGCGATTCATGGGATCATCAACATCTTGTAAAACATCATCGTCTTGAGGTGGAGGTGGAGCAAGAGCTGCTCAAGATGAACTAGTACCCAATGGGATAACAACATCAATATCGACTCTAAGACTAGCTTTTATAAAGAAATTACTAAGAATACAACCATAAACTAGAGATTAAACCCTCTTAGAAGAAATATAGTTCACGATATCCACTAGTTCACTGAAGATGATTTGAGCAAGATTAATTCTTTTATTTTGTTGAAAACAATGAATCCATCATATGTCAATCCTTCGAAAAGAAGAATATTTGCCTCCGGGTGGTCGAAACCACCAAGAGATAATCAAGTGAATGAACCTCTCGTGAAAGCCAAGGATGTTTGTGCTCTTCCCTACTTCTAAGGAGGAAGGGGCGGTGTCTGGCTCATTATCAATCTCGGTGTTTTCTAGGCCAAAAGCACGGGGCAATAGATTCAGAATTAATAGTAATGTATTCGGCCAAGGGATATGAACGAATACTTTCTGTTACCAGCTTCGTTTTGGACACGAACCGCATTAGAATAGAAAATGCAGACGAGTTGGTGATAGACAACGGGTTTGACTTTGAACGTGTTGTCAAATTTCCAAGCTTTGAGAAATGGAAAGGTATTTAAAATTTATGGTGTTCATTTCCAAAATTGAAGGAAGACGCTCACCCCTAAGAGCATGAGATTTGAAATGGTTGAGATATCGTGAATAGAGATTACGATGATTTGGTTCATTAAAACATGAATTCACGATGGTCATTTTATTTTGATTGTGAGGAGGATTTGGCGGAGGGTTAGGAGGTGAAATAGAACAAGAGAAATATGATCGAGGGTGTTTGTGAGACACGGTAAAAGTCGGGATAAAGGTAAAACCTGCAAAGAAAGACAATATATATGTATGCAATCAATGAATCCCAAAACTCAATATGAGTCCACAATTCAAGGCATTATATAACTAAATTAATTTTTTTTAAGTATAATGGGCCAAAAAGGAAAATAGTGTTAAGAAAAACAAAAGTATATATATATATATAAACAAACGTGTATACAAGAACGATTTTTTTAATTTCGAATTTGAAGAAACTTGTTAAAAAAAACAATGTAGATTCTAGTGTAGAAATGCAAAATAAGTAAAATATCATTCACTAATTTAAGAAAAAAAACTAACTAAATTTAGGCCTAAATTTGAAAAGAAAAAGTTAGGGTTTTAAAAAAATACCTTGAAAAAGTAGGATTGAGATGGAATTTGATGATGAACGCACGATTTTTGATGATGCTAGTAGGTTGGAATGATGAAAATCAACGCAAAAACGACTCTAAAACGATGAAATGAAGCAATTTTTTTAGAGGGGGATTGGGAGGTGTGCGGCTAAGTGTTAAAGAATAAGGGAAGAAAAAAAGAAGAGATTTTAGGGCATTATAAGCTAAACCCAACCGGGAGTATCGATACTCCAATGGAAGTATCGATACTTTAAAGCAAAAATTTGATGGTATCAATACCGAGTATCGATACCCTATTGAGGCTGCAAGAGCAATATCAGTACTTGAAGAACAATATCGGTATTGAATAAACAGTACCGGTACTAAGTACACAGAAAGGTTCAAAAATGCAATAAAAACAAATAGGATGCATACTTTAAAGCATAAATAGTGGTGTAGGCAACTCTAATTGGGCAAAGCAAATATACATTTAAGCATAATTTGAACATATTATTAATTTTCATTGAAATCATAAACTCGCCCTAAATAATAACATAGAAGGCAAAAAAAAATTTTTTGCATGCATTTGTCATAAAATCATAAAAGTACAGAAGTTATTTAAACACAAATTCAAGGTAAGTTGGTTAAATATAATTCTCTCCTAAGAGCCCAAAATATTTCTTTGTCTAAAGGTTTTGTAAAAATATCAGCTACTTAATGCAAAGTATCTACATACTCTAGAACTATATCTTCTTTTGAGAAATGATCTCTAATGAAATGATGTCTAATTTCTATGTGCTTAGTTCTAGAATGTTGGATGGGATTTTTAGTGAGACATATAGTACTAGTATTGTCACACTATATAGGAATGATACCCGCATCAATTCCATAGTCTAAAATTTCTTGTTTCATCCATAAAATTTGTGCACAACAACTACCAGCTAAAATATATTTCACTTCGGTGGTAGATATTGCAACATTATTTTGTTTCTTTAAAAACCAAGAGATTAACATGTACCAGATGTGTTTTTCCTATCTAATTTGCAACCTCCATAATCTGCATCCGCAAAAGTATGCAAGTTAGGGCTAGAGTCTCTTGGATACCAAAGTCCTATGCTAGGAGTGTCCTTAAGGTATCTAAAGATTCTCTTAATGGCTTGTAAGTGAGACTCCTTAGGACATGATTGAAATCTAGCACATAAGCAAACACTAAACATAATGTCCGGTATACTTGCGGTAAGATAAAACAAAGATCCAATCATAGACTTATAAAGCTTAACATCTACACATTTACCTTCTTCATCTTTGTCAAACTTTGTAGATTAGCTCAAAGGAGTGGCTTGGGGTCTCACATTTTCCAATCCAAACTTCTGGAGCACATTTTGATGTATATTGCTTGAATGATGAAGATGTCATCTTTTCTTTACTTGATTTGGAGCCCCAAAAAAATGAAATCTCCCCCGTCATGCTCATCTTAAATTCACCTTGTATTAGTAGCAAATTCTTGGCAAAGAACGTCATTAGTAAAACAAAAAATTATATCATCAACATAAATTTGAACTACTAATAAATCTTTACCTTTACATTTTATAAACAATGTAGTGTCAACCTTCCCTTTTGAAAAACTTTTTTCAATAAGAAAATTTGACAATCTTTCTTACCAAACTCTAGGAGCTTGTTTTAAACCATACAAAACTTTTGTCAATTTGAAAACATGATTTGAAAATTTTAAATCCTCAAAACCAGGAGGTTGTTCCACATACAATTCTTCTTTTATAAAACCATTTAAAAATGCACTTTTAACATCCATTTGAAATAATGTAAATCCATGATAATATGCAAATGCTAATAACATTCTAATAGCCTCAATCCTAGCTACGGGAGCATAAGTTTCATCAAAATTTATTTCCTCTTCTTGAGTGTATCCTTGAGCAACAAATCTAATCTTGTTTCTCATTATATTACCACTTTCATCTAATTTATTCCTAAATACCCATTTAGTACCTATAGTAGACTTATTACTAGGTCTTTCAACTAATGTCCACAGTTGACTTCTCTCAAATTGATTTAACTCATCTTGCATAATCATAATTCAACGTTCATTATTTAATGCTTCTTTGATATTCTTAGGCTCTATGCATGAGATAAATGAAGCATAATTACAAATATCTTTAAAAGAAGATCTAGTGGTTACCCCCTTAGATGGATCACCCAAAATCTCACCATCCTTGACATAGTTGTACTTCTTTGGGTATGTGGCTTCTCTTTCCTCTAGAGTTAGATTCTTGAAGACATCTTGAGTTTCTTCATTCTTTATTTCTTTCTATGATGATTCACCAACTTCATTTGGATTTAAGATACATACATCATCATCAATACAAGAATCCTTTCTCGGAAGGAGATTATCATCAAAACAACATGTATTAACTCTTATACCACTAGAGTTCTTTTTATTAAAGACTTGATAAGCTTTAAAATTTAAAGAGTAACCAAGAAAAATTCATTCATCACTTTTTGCATCAAATTTGCCAATGTTGTCTTTTCCATTATTTAAAACAAAACACTTGCATCCAAAAGGATAAAAATAACATATGTTAGGTTTTTTTTAAAAAAAAATTCATATTGAGTTTTCTTTAAAATAGGCCTAATTGTTACTCTATTAATCAAATAACAAGCGGTATTTATGGTTTTCGCCCAAAAATATTTTGGCAAATTGTTTTCATAAATCATGATCCTAGATATTTCTTCTAAAGTTCTATTTATCTCTCAATAACTCCATTTTATTGAGGGGCTCTAGGGGCTGAAAAATTATGGCTAATTCCATTTGAATTACAAAAATACCAAAATCAAAATTTTCAAATTTGGTTCCATGGTCACTCCTAATACTTGAAATAGAGTAACCCTTTTCATTTTAGATTATTTTAGAGAAAGTGATGAAATTTTCTAAAGCTTCATCTTTTGTACTTAAAAAAAGAACCCAAGTAAACCTAGAGTAGTCATCAACCAATATAAATGCATATTGTTTTCCACCCAAACTAGTAGTTCTAATAGGCCCAAAAAGATCTATATGGATCAATTGTAATACTCTACTAGATGTTACATCATTAATAGGTTTAAAGGAAGTTCTTTTGTGTTTGGCTTTAGCACATGCATCACAAATTTTATAAAGATTAAATTTTATCTTTGGCAAGCCTCTTACAAGATTTATTTGAACAAGTTTTTGTAAAACACTCAAGCTAGCATGTACAAGTTTTCT